ATTAATGAAAGCTTAATAATTCATGTATGTTACCACTTAACGGCTGTTATGAGATGGGTACATTGTAATTATTTTAGGGCGTGACATATGGATCGAGGTAGGTTACCTCATATCTGTCATTTGTCTGCATTTAGACAGATTGAGAAAAATGCATCCGCATCTATCAAACTATCAGCTTATTTAATTTAGGCAAGTCGAGTGTGTAGCGATCCCAGTTTTGCCACTTCGCTGAGTATGTCGGGGTCCACTCGAGCAGCTGTTTATGCGCGCGAGCGGAGAATGTTTGGTTCTAGAAGTTTGACCTATCTACAAAAGTACTGGGAAGGTGTATTTGACACTCGAGCGAGGCTTTCCATACTCGAGCAAACCATGTTATATCAGTTCGTGAATCTGATATTTCAGATCATTTTTGTATATCTCTTTCTCTCTAAAAACCCTTTCTTCTCTCTTCTCTCTACATTTCCCTACGCCAAATTGGATCAAAACCTTGATTTCTCAAGATCCATTAGAGTTCTGCCATTGGTTCTTCATCAAAGTTGGTTAACTTCTCGAGTTTCGACACCATTGATTTTGGGGGTTTCATCTCATTTCTTCTTCAAAACTTGAGGTAGGGATTTTTTTAGAGTTATATATATATTTTTGCAAGATCTATATGATTTTCGAAATCATCTTTCGATAGCTTTGAAAATTGATTGTTGATTCAAGAAGTTGAGAGATTTTGAAAGTGGATTTGTTTCTTGTTCTTTTTAAAATGATTTTATGGGTTTTGATCTTCGTTGATTGAAGAAAATATGATTTTGGAAAGTTTTCTTTCAAAAGTTTGAGTTGTATAGTTTTGGTGAGAAAACCTAGAATTTGGGAAAAAAAATTTAAAGAGACTGAAAATATATGAATGATATTGTTATATTTATTTTATGTGTCAAAATAAATTGATGTTTGGAAAATTTCTTATTTATATTTATATAAATGATGAATTTCAGGGAATATGAGAATTGTTGTTCATTTTGAAAACTATTGCTCAAAACGTTGAAATAATCTTGAAATAACTAATTGTTGAGGATATTTGAGAAGGGAGAATTGTGTTATTCCTTGGATGATGAATTCGAATAAAAGTATTTATATTCATCTTGTGAATTTGGCATATCAATTCATTTGATTACATGAAACTTTGAAAGTTGATTTAACAACTTGCATTGAGAAAAGAATGTTGAGAAATAAATTTTCATGGAATGGTTTTGGGGTAAATACATTGGTAAGTCTTGATAGGTAGTGTAGATGATATTGAACAAGTTGGCCTAAGAGTCCGAGGTGAAAAATCGAAAACCCGCGCGGATAGGTGTCAAGCCTTCCAGTTAATACCGGTAAAAATGACAATTTGGCAGTACTTGTATAGTCTACTTGCAGACGCCGACCTAAGGATTACAGAGTCGTGTTTACCGCCCTTGAAATAAATTGTTAAGTTTTGAACAATTGAAATTGCATGATATCATTGAGCATGATGGTTTTCAAAAGATGAAAATGTGATTTATCTTTAAAAAGGACATAGCATGGCATGTGCATTTCATCTCTTGAGACTTGTATAAAATGTATATACTTTGTTAAAAATTTCTTACTAGGCTTTATGCTCACCCTACGGGATTTTTGTGCAGGAAAAGTTGTGGTGATCCCACCCAACTAGGGGCGTGGAAGTATGTGTGTTGGAGTACAATGCTATCATTTTGTTGTGACTCTGTATGTAAGCCAAGGGCTGTGTTTCTGTGGGTTTGAATAACCGTTTTGTATAAGCCTTGGAAACTTGTAAACTCTTGAGGGTATTTATTTGTTTATTTACTTGTTGTTGGATTAATGTATTGTTGCATGAAGAACTATTGTATCATGTAATGTAAGTTTGGAGATTTATATTCGATTTTCCTTGAAAGAGCCATGATTGTCGTATTATCATTTGGGGTAGAAATTTGGGACGTTACAAAGTGGATGTTTGCCTAATGTATCTCTCATTATCCCCCATTTTCAATTATTTTCAAAACAAAAAATTTAAATGTTAGTGTAATAAACATATTTTTTATTTTCATTTTTATCCAAAATAGACATGAACATATTTAATATACTTTTTAAATTAAAAATAATAAAAACCATACAAAAAAACACCAAAAAAATTATTTATCATCAACTTTAGAAAAAAAGTTGAAGACCTACTAATTTTTTCGCATAAAAAAAATAATTTGTTTCACAACTTTCTGAAAGCATCCAATTTCTTAAAATTAGGTTATTTATACAAAAATCTCTTAAATTATTGATAAATATTATTTTGATTGTTAAACTATGAAAGAGTATAAATATATCATCTAAATTATTGAGAAGTATCATTTTACTCTTTAAACTATAAAATCGTACAAATTGGACCGTTAACAAAATGAGTCAAAGTGGAATACGCTAATAAATTAGAAGGTCCATTTGTACATTTTCATTTGTGCCTGTTTGGTAGAGTTTAATTTTAGCTTAACTCAACTTTTAGATTATTTTGAGCTTTTTTGGTGCGTTTGGTAGAGCTTAAAATCACTTTTTGTAGCTTAAATTAATTTTTGTCTTAGTGGCAGAAAGGGTGCTTTTCAGATTCAACTTAAGCGGAAAGCTAAAAGTTGAGGGACAAAATTACTTAAATGTCCCTTACTAATTTGAAGTATTACCAGATTGCCATTATATAAACCACAAAGATCACTGTTCATTCTCAGAGAGAGAGAGGGGCGATTTTTGGCAAGCGATTTGTAGCGAGAGGCGATTTCCGGCACTCAACACCTGTTCTCAACACCTCTCTCTCTCTCTCTCTCTCTTTCTCTCATGAACCAGTGCTCTTCATCTCTTTCACATTCACAAACCAGAGCTCTCTTCTCTCTCTTTCTTCACCACCACCATGGCGTTGTAAACCCTAGCTTCACGATCGAGCTTCCATGTCTACGATCTCAATTAAGGGGCAAAACCCTAACCATCGCGATCTAAAATCCTAGAGTCACAATCGACTACATGACGATTAACAGTGACGATCAATCATCTGTCGTCGTCCCCCATCCTCCATCGCCACTGTGCCTTTGACGGTGACTATCAACGACCAACCCTAGGGTTTTCAGTGTTTTTTTAATAATAATAATAATAATAATAATTAAGCATTTTAAGCCATTAATGAAATAAATAAATTTTATATCAATTAATTTTAGTAGTAATTGATACTAATTAAGCTATTAATTGATAATAAATTAAACAATAAAATGAAAAAATAGTGGAAACAAATATTGTGTATATTGTATATTTTTGTAATGAATTAATATAAAAAAATTAACAATTTTTATATTATCAACAGAAGAGTGTAATTTATCCATTTTATTTTATTTTTTATACTAATTTTGTTGGTTCATCTTTAAATAATTAATATGTGAGAAGAGAAGAACAAAAAAGAAAATAAAATAAAATGAAGAAAAAGAATAGCAAAAAGTCAAGATAAATTCAATTTATAACTAACAAGGGTAAAAAAAGACATTTATACAACAAAAAGCTACTTCATAGCTTATTTAACAAACACTACTGAACAACTTAAATCTATAATCTAACAGTTACACTAAACAGATTAATAACTTCTGATTAAAGTCATAATCTATAATCTATTAAGCTATAATCTATAATCTGTTTTAACAGTTACACCAAACGAGACCTTTGTCGTTTATAATTTATGAGTTAAAGTGATGAGTGATTCTATTTACACACTATTAATACTCTCAGTAGACACTATTAATAGATTAAATTTATATTCAATATATCTCCCAATGAAATTACCATTAAGGACAACATGAGGTGTTTTCTATCAATTCAAAATTTTCATATTTAAAACACAAAATACTCTTCATACGTCATTATTCCTATAGAGTTTAAGGTTTTAACATATAATTATTGTATTTCTTCATCTTCATCATTAACATACACTTATGATATCATTCATTATCAATTAACTCCCTTCATTCTCTTTTTCATTATACTTTTTTTTCAAACTCAAAATATTATTATCTTTGAAGATTTAAGGTTTAAAAATATTGAAATCAAATAGTTTTGAAGATTTGTATATCATGGATGACACTAAGATTGTTGGTTCTAATATAAATATTGAAAACGTTGATTAGAATATTAAAAATGTTAGTTTAGAAATTAGCGTTTTGATTTTTTATTTATCTCATTCGTATATTGGGAAAATGAGTTTGTTCATCGTGTTCAAATAACCAGAATTGAACTTTACATAATATTCAATTATTTATTAAGATTGACCAAATATTAAATGTTCACACACAAAAAATTGAGCGTTTTAAGCTATTTCGGTTAAAATAAATTAAACTTTTATTTATTGTTCAGATATAAATTTTTATACATATTAATGTTCAACTTTGTATGTATGAACATAACTAATTTGATGAATTTGAAATAACGACAAGAGATGAGAGTTCAAGACTAACAATGAAGATTAACATCAATAATGATGGAAGCCGAATGAAACACTTCGCTGGTGTTCTAAAACAACGAGATGATGAGATTAGATACAACGAGAGTTTAACATCAACTATGGAGATCAACACGGGCAAAGATGGAGGCCGAATGAAACCTCCGCCGGCGATGGAGATTAAAACCAATGAAGATAATCTATGTTGGTCTATGTTCTGAAGATTATGGGATTTTTGTTATGTGTAGTGGTGAAGATGAAGAGTTATGAATTCAAATAATTAGTGATGTATTAATATAAGTTTAGTAATTGAAAGTTAAGGCATGAATTAAGATATTTTTAAATCATAAAAATTATTTTATGTGTACTAAATAATAGTAAATAGAATCACAATACTTCTTAATAATTTAGAGGGTCTAAGTAAATAATCCCATAAAATTCCATTTATAAAAAAAATTAAAAAACTAATTCCTGTCTTTTAAAAAAACAATTCAACCAATTTCTGTCTCTTTTGTCAAAAAAATAAAAATAAAAAAACGAATTTCTCTATCTCTAAACACTTTGGCGTTGTGGCTTCAGAAAAACCCTTGACCTACGAATACATGGCGAAACCACGGAAATCGAAGACCTCATCGGAGGAAGCTCTGTGCAATGCCTCAAATATTTCGGAGGAAGATAAGGAGAAGATCGAGGCTGTCGTCAAATACAAGTCTCCTTGTACTGTAAACAGCGCAGGCCATCGGCAAGAGCAAGAGCAGGATCATGAAAACGAAGAGGTAAATTTACTGATCAGACAAGTTTAGATCTCACTTTCAATATGCAAATCATGTTCGTGTTCAAGTAAACCCAAAAATCACTACTGGGGTTCAAATTGAACCACGAAAATCCGATTCATTCGGTTTGGAGCCACAATTATTGTTAATTGCACTTTTTTTGCTTGTAGTTTGATCCAAATTTCACTTTTTTGAATAATTTTTCCTGTACACTCTAGTTCCAATTTGATCTTTTCATCCAGATGTTGAGGATTGAGAAAGTGAACTGCCTTAGGGCATCTCCAACGTTTACTCATTTATTTCATTAAATTTGAGTAAAAGCTTCATCTGATATTGCCCACTAGGATTTTGATCTTTCATCAAATCACTGGTTGATCAAGCGGACAACCAGGATGATGTCTAGTCGGTTGACTGGCCATTGTAAATTGCCCAATGTAAATTGCAAAGAAGTGGATGTCCGGGGGACAATGGCTGGTCGTACAGTGCTCCTACACTAACGGCTATCTACAGTAATTAGATGAAAATTTCAAGCATCCTCAATTTGATGTCAAACTGATGACAACGTTGGAGCAAGATTTTGATAAGTTTTTCATCAAATTTAAATTTACTGAAAGAAAAGGTGAAATGTTGGAGATGGTCTTAGTAAGCCGATTTTATTTGTCACCGAAATGGTCAGATTTGGTTAGAAACAAATTGATTGGTTGTAAAATATTTATAATATCAATATTAAAATGATAAAAAAATCCTAACCACATAGGGGTGCCTCTCAGTTAGACCTAAGCAGCTGCAGCCCCCGAGGTCACCCTTACGTGGCACTACACAGCAGAGCAGCTTAATTATGTAGTGATAAGTCACGAACTTGCGTACAAGTGGAGATTCGAACTCACACTTCTAACACTGGTTACGGTCAAACCTAGGCCTTGAAGGTCCTTCCTACCAATCATATGTGTTGTTGCCTGGATGGGTGGCGCAGGCGAGAGTGGAACTTGGGACCTCAAGGTTTATACCTCGAGCCTTACCAAGTTGCCACACCCCCTTGGGTTATATAATATCAATATTGCTCCTTCAAATACAAAGAACTAAAAATAAGTCTCATACATATCCCTCTCTCACATGATTTGTTTTGTTACTCATCTAAATATGATAGTGAGAAAATAAAATCAATTGCTTTTCTTTTCTCACTCCATGATCCAATCGGAGTTTAAATTGGAGGTTAAACTTAACAATTTTGGGACAATTTTCAATTTTTTAAGGTTTTAATTTGGTTCTTCTATCTAAATTAGAGATTAAAACTAACTATTTTGGAAGACTTGTCAATTTTTTAAGGTGGACACGTATTCAAAATGAACAAAATTTAAATGGAAGGACTAAATTGAAATTAGATTTAAGAGACTAAAGTGAAATTTAAGTCAAACAACAAGAGTGGAAAGCCTAATTAACCTTATAAATATTGTTATTGTTCACAATATGATTGCAATAGACTTAAACATCAAACATCAAACAATTGTTTATAACTAAGTCTATCAATTATGTAAGAGCACAAGGGTTAAGAATTTAATGAGATACTAATAAGCTACTTGAGTTCTTGTGTATATATTTAAATGGTCCAGTTCAGTTTTAAACCAGAACCATAAGTGTAATACCACGGACCAAATCGTGAAGTATGATTTGCTATCTTAAAACTAGAACCAAACCATGCATTGGCAAAACTAAACCAAACAGTGTGGTTTGATTTGGATCAGACCTATTTGTGAATTTTTCGAGATAGTAGAGAAATTTTTATCCAAATAAATGGGATAAGAGAAATCTTTTATGTGGTTTAATCATTTTTTTCCTCCTATTTATCCAAACGAAAGAGAGAGAGAGAGAGAGAGAGAGAGTCCTATTTATCTTTTCTCTTCTTTTCTTTCCTATCTTTACTTCAAGTAATCATTTCTTTTCTTTTCTCTCCTAGATTCTCAAGCTGTTTAAAATGTGCACAATTTTTGTTATAGATTATCTAGTTGCCCCAACTCACATATCCAAATAAGTTTTCACAATGTTTGGCAAAAAAAAAATGTAGGACTTTGCAGAGGTATTTGCTGCTAGAATTACTTTGGATCCTTGTTATTCCATAAGGAGTTGGACAAAGAATAATGCATGAGGAATATGTTAAAACTAGAACTTTTTGTGATGATTCTTGGCCTAGTTTTATTTTTAGCTAAAACAATTCTTATTTGCCCTGCTTGTTCTTGGCCAATAATACTTGGCCATGTTTATTGTATTCACATCCTTGTTTCACATTCACAGTCCGTTTGCATTGGGTTATTTCGGAAAGAAAAGGAAGGAAATGCATGGTTTTGGTTCATACTGTTGAACCAGATGTGCCAAAAGAGCACTATCTAAAAAGAGTTTTTGTCAATGTGTTCCTTTTTGAAGTTTTGGTTTTCAGAAGGTCAAGTGGGTGGGGATGTAGGTTCACTTAAGCAGAGATCGCCTAGCACACACCCACTTGGCACCATCATGAAATAGACTGTTTGAGAGGGAAAGTGCTGTGGCAGCATCATAATCACCTTTGACATTAGTGTCACCCCCGGTTGACATTGATTTTAAACTAGACTGAACCAAGTTTTTAGATCCCTGGAGTCCATTCAAATTTCTGCTTCTTGTGAAAGAAACAAGAAATGGCTATGAGTTTCACTTCTTGGAGCAATCAAGAAGCACACATAATTTTATCTAGAAAATAAGTAGTTTTAGCATCACATCACTCTTAGACTCAAATATCAAATGTAAATGGCATGATGAAATAACCCTTCCCTCTAATCACATATGTGCACACTCGCCTATTCTGATCTTCTTGTCGTATGTACAGGAAAAATGGCCAAGAAAATATCCAATAAAAGAAGAAAGCTAGTTAGTGGCTGCACGCCATTGCAAGACTCACTGGCAGAAGTAATTAGCAATGTAGATCTTTTATCTGAGATACTTCTACGTGTGCCAACAGTCACTCATCAGATTCAAATGTCTGTCTAAGCATTGGCTTTCTCTCATCTCAGACTCACAATTTTCCTCTAACCACACCCGCCGAACTAACATTTCCATGATCTCCGGCCTATACTTCTACAGCAATTGGATGTTGAAGGATGTTAATTCTGTCTCGCTTCAAAGCCACTCAACTCTTCCACCATTCACCTTCCTTGATGGTGTTGGAGAAGAATCTACACGTATGTTTGTAAACTCTTGCAACGGCTTGCTGTTGTGCTCGAAGATTTACAGACAGCGTTACATTGTTTGTAATCCAACCACCCAAAAATACACTGCATTACCTGAATGTGTTGGCACATCATTTAGATTATTCTATGACAAGTTTGGTGCTTACTTGGCTTTTGACCTTTCAAAATCACCTCACTACAAAGTTGTATTGGTTGATTACGGTCTTGATTATGCCGGAAGCTCTGGAAGATCTTATCTAATTGATATCTACTCTTCAGAAAGTGCCTCTTGGAAACTTGTTTGTGTCAATGCACCACCAGGTGGCACCTTCAAACGCAGGGTCTTTTGGAATGGAGCAATTCATTGGATGAATTCCATGAACCTTCACATTCGATTTGATGTTGATGGAGAGAATTTGACAGGAACTCCAATGCCTCCATACCCTAAAATTCTTTCAGAAGATAAAATTCTATATTTTGGAGAATGTCATGGCCATTTGTTTCTAATTCAGAATCGTCAGTCATTTCCTGTGGGATTCAGGATTCTTGAGATGAACAGGGACTACTGCTGCTGGAATGTGATGTACTGGGTTAATTTGAGACCTATAATAGATGTCTTCCCATCGAAAATTTACCCAAAATTTAATGTGCTTTGTGTTGTGAAGGGTGCAAATGAAGCAGATATTGCACTGGTGTTAGCTATTCCTGGCAAAGTTATTTCTTATAATCTCAAGTCCAAGACATTGAAGGTGCTTAGTAAGTCTGTAGATTGGGAAACAACTTGGTATAATACGCATCAATTCATTGAAAGCCTTTCACCTGTTTGATCAATTGCCCACCTGTTTGAGCCAACCTATTAAAATCATTTTGCATGAAGTAGCTTCTTAGTGTTAAAAAACAGTATTTTGTTGTCACAAATTGCAGTAGGGTGCTTGTTTTAGAGGCTTATGTTGCTGTAATTTCTTTCTTCAACAGATGGTTATGTCCCTCAGTGAACTCTTCTAAATTTCTCTCTGCTTAGTATTATCAGTAGTTAGCTTCTTTTAGCTGGTTAGATTCTGTTTTAAGCTTGCTTTCATTGGTCGATTTTAAGGCTGACATAGGATTGTTGTGTATATAGTTCATCCATAGATCCTCTCTGTAATAATTACTTTTGTTGCTTTATATGTTAGCCGCGTTTTGACCACTGTAATGCATTAACCCAAGTATTATGCATTTGTCTGATCGCCAAAGAGGGCATTTAAAACTCATTGGTTTTGATCTTCTTGTTTTGAAGTACACTACGCCAAAACAGGGCATTAATGGCGGTTTTTTTAACGGCGGTAACAAAAATCGTCGTTAAAGGTACTATTAACGGCGGTAACGAAAACCGTCGTTAAAGGTATCATTAACGGCGGTTTTGTTACCGCCGTTAAAAAAACCGCCGTTAATGCCAACTTTTAACGGCGGTAACAAAACCGCTGCTAATGCCCAATCATTACCGCCGTTAATGACGGCGGTCTTTGCCGGCGAAACTCCGGCGTGCTCCGGCGAAACTCCAGTGAGCTCCAGCGAAACCATCTACAATAAAGTAAAAGTAATGTTTAAATATTTATTTAGGGAATATATTTCATGAAGAGTGGCTATGGTAGAGTGGTTATTGTGGGTGGATGAGAGGTTGAGGGTTCAAGACTTGGGGAGTGCAAGAAGAAAGAATTATTTTTTGAAAAATTTGAACCTATTTACGGCAGTAAAAAACCGCCGTTTTTGGTCCTATGTTACCGTCGTTTTTGGTCGACTTTTAACGACGGTAATTTACCTTTTTACGACGGTTGTACTTTTTCCGACACGCGCATAAACGGCGGTAACAAAACCACCTTTAATACCGCCGTTAAAGGCTTTAACGGCGGTAAAAAATCGCCGCTAAAGCCCAATTTTGGTGTAGTGTGAGATGGAAAAATATTCAGACAAAAAAAGAAATTACAACAATATTTGGAACATTTTGTTTCAATATTTTCCATTCCTTCCTTGAGTATTTAAAACCACTAAACCCAAATGGTTGGTTTGTATTTCATTCATTGGACTGATCGCCAGGTAGTGAAAAATTCATTCAGTTGACAATCTTTTATTTATGTTAATTAATTATCAGTTTCAAAATTGTTTATTTATTTATTTGAGATTTGGATTTAACACATATCACTCCTTGACGTTTGAGAAATTTCATTCTAATCCCTATGATTAATTTTCTCATTTCACAAACCTGCTTACTTATATAAAACGCAACAACTCTTGGTAGAAAAATAAAGAAAATTACATTGAAAAAAAAAAAAAGGTAAAGCAAAGGAAAGAAGAAAAAAAGAAAAACAGAAGAAGTAGAGCAAAGTAAGAAAAGAGAGACTGTATGAATTTAATGTATTTTTTATACCAACGTTAATTTCGTCTAAATAATTATAATGACAGAGGGGTCAATGTAATTTTTCAAATGTCAGGGGTGATATGTATTAAATCCATACCTTAGGGGTGCAAGTGTAATTTACCCATTTATTTATGTTAAGGGCAAATTGCAAACACCCTCTTTAGATTTGGTAAAAATACAGATTCCTCCCTGAGGTTTGAGAAATTACAAATTACCCCCTGAGGGTCAAATTTTCATAACAAATTAGGAGAAATTAGAGAGGAATCTAAATGAAAATAAAAACCTCAGAGGGGCAATTTGTTATGGAAATATAAATCTCAGGGGGCGGGATGTAATTTTTCAAACCTCAAGGGGAATCTATATTTTCACCAAACCTCGAGAGGATGTTTGTAATTTGTCCTTATGTTAACAAATAGTGTCTTTTCTTTTTTTTCTTTTTTTCTTTTTTTGGTTATCTAGCAGATTTTTTTTTTTATACTATAAGGTTTCTCAAGCTTGGAGTATTGTGACAAAGTTGCTTCAATGGTGGCTTTATTATGTTTTCAATTTTTCTTACAAAATATCAGATGAAAAAATGTTTATTACTAGGATCATAATAATAACTATAAATATAATATTTAATACATTTAACTTCTAAGTCTTTTAAACAAAACTATAGTTAGCTTTTTTGCAACCAATTAATATACAAATATATCTTTATATTTAAAAACAATTTAAATAATTGTATATTAATACTTATAATTTTTATTTAAATATTTTTTTTAATATAGTTATAAGATAATTAAGACATTGCGGCTTAATTATGATTGATTTGACAATTATTTGACCAACAGTCTGGATTTCAAAACATTGCATACCATTTAACATTTAAATACATGGTGAAACCATCAATATCAAATAATGCATCGGACAATGATTCTCTATACAATATGTCGGAGGGCATTAGGGAGGAACTATATGTAGATGAGAGAAAGGAAAAAAATTACCACATGAGGGGTACGTATGCCTGTGAGGAAAAAAATTACCACATAAGGGTTTCAAGTATGCCTGTGATAAAATACAAATAAAAAATTGTGAAGATACAAGTATCATTTGCCCGAGGTCCTCATAATCGAGTGACACACTACAATAGTTGCATTATCAATGGGACCATATTACATTCATAATTACTCATCTAAATATAATGGAGGACCTTATCTAATTGATATATATATATATCTATTCTTCAGAGAGTGCATCTTGGAAACACATTCCTACCAACAGACGTTGCGGTGATTACTCGACTCACGGGGTCTTATGGAATGGAGCAATCCATTGGTTAACAATTAGGGATTTTATTATGTGTTTTAATTAAGAATTTTAATAAGAAAAAAGAAACAGAAAAGAAAAGAAAAAGGAAATGAAAAAAAAAAGAAGATATTTGTTAGAGTACCTAGGGCATAGGTCACCTAATGTATAAAAGTGGGTTTTGTAGCATTATATCTCAACTATAAATCAGATTTGAGTGTAAATCTGAAAACTTTTTCAGTGATAAGCTAATGATGAAGACGAGAGGAATAGTAATGACTAGCATGATGAGGAATAATAAAAAAAAAGAAACCGAATAATAAAAATCAAAAGGAAGAGGAAGGTTAGAATTAGCACTGCTCTACCAACAAGAGTTGAGAAAAATAATAGGTTTGGTTTCTCTCAAATTGTCATCTCAACTTAATAGAGTGTTTCTCAAGTTGTCATCTCAACTTAACAAAGTGTTTGGATTTGGTAGAACCATTTTGGGACCAATTTCAGTAATTCAAACCGTTCACTTTTTAGGACTCATTGAGTAGAATATTTGTGTAAAAAATCAAATGAAAGATAGGTAGCTGTGGGAATTGACAACCAACCATATGAAAGAGTTTTAGAGTCAACAAAATATAGCATAATGAAGAAATAAGGGAATAACAATCTGGAAATCCTACAAATTTCCCTCATGATATTGCACATGTCCTATTGTTCACATGCTTATAAGTTGGTATGATCTGCTGTCTGTGATCAATCTTTTGCTTTATAAAGTGCATGTTTTGTTGCTAAATTGAAGCAAGTTGCAGAGCCTTCTCTAAATTTGCTTTCGTTTCCCCTCCACCTTGTAGACTAAAGTATTGAATTTTATTCATAGTTTGACAATTTTGCCTACTGAATAATAATAATTATTATTATTATTATTATTATTATTATTATTATTATTATTTACAATGAAATGGTATGAATATATAATAGTTTGATAAAATTGATTTGTGGTTCATGAAATGGTGCATGAGTAAGATCACTGGCTTCTTCTTGTGCATTTTGATCAGGAGGGATAATGAATTGATAAATAGTACCATAAAGATTTCAATTGATAACGTCCAAAGGTTGGTCAATTGTAAGGGCATATCCTAAACTGATAAGAAGTTAAGGATTAGCCAGAATGATACAGTTCGGCAACCATGGAGCTTCAGTTAATTAGAGAGGTGGTTAGTTATCTCGAGTTAGTTTTCTGTCTCTCTAAGACATGTGCAACTAGATCTAGAGGACAGATCCATTGTCAAGAGACACACAGAAGATAAAGAAACAAAAGATCAGTTTCTGTTTTGATACCTCTCTCTCTCATTTTCTTTCTCATCCTATCTCTGTAATTGTTGATGTTGGATCATTAGAGTTTACAGAGGTGGTATTTTAGAAAGAGTGCCTTAAGCAGCTGTAATAATATTCTATCTGGTTGATTTGAATCTTGTTAATGTTGGGATTAAACATGCCCAGAAAGGTAATCAACAAACAATCACAGACAAATAAGACACAAATTTTTACATGATTCAGCCCAATGCCTACGTCTATGGGAGAGAGAGAAAAAGCTTCACTATGAACAAAAACAAAAACAAAACAGAAAAGGAGTCTCTTACTCTCTCAACTCAACTCACAGCTCTCATACGCTTTTCACAACTCTCTCTTTTCTTCACTCTCTATCTATCAACTCAGCTCACAACTCTCCCTATTTATACACAAACGGGAGAGCAACAATTAATACTTGCCTACCAACAACCAACCACTAAAATAAATAGCAAGCCATTGACCTAAGCCACCCTACAATAGGATAACTAGGTTGAAAAACTCCAGATCTCTAGCCAAAATCAGCGGCCTCAATTCTTAACTTCCAAAGCCAACTTCATATGGTGTGGATACTCAACAGTTGAGGTCTCCTCTTGCTTCAGCTGAAGCTTCCTCTCGCTTGAGGTTAGGGATTCTGATGTTGCAAAAAATAATAGCATCTCCATTCTGCCAATGAGATATTGGGTGCAACAGTAATAACATTATTAGATACTCTCATCGATCACTCTTAACCCCACTTTAATTGATTGGTTTTTATTGATCAATTATGTTGTGAAAGATGTCACCCTGACACTATTGATTTCATTCCCATGATGTACAAATTTATTAACTCGTTTGATCATTTTCTATATGTGACCTAATCTGTTGGGAGTACTATCGTCAGCACATGTAAAGGGGAAGTACTATTGTCCGTACCTAGTACAAAAAGGTGCACATAAAATATGTTTTTAAGATTATAGCTATTGCACCTTGATTTTATTTTCCTAAAGAGTAATGTTAAGAATCTCAAATATTTTATCAAATATTCTATTTATAAATGTCTTATATGGGTATGGACCTTACAGTTGGTAGAATATTTGGTAAAATATTTAAGATCCCTAATATTTTTCTTTCCTAAAACTAAGTGATCACATGATGTCTGACT